TTGAAAGAGTGACACAACTTGACCGAATTTCCTTTGTAGATGCTCTGCTGTCTTTATATACTGAAATTGGCAGTAAGGGTGCTATGGAGGGTAACATCACAGAACAGCCCAAAGCCGTAGGAAAAGAAGGAGCTCTTCTTGTGTTGCCAAGGCTGGGGGGTTCGTCTGCTCGATCTTTGCTCTGTTGGTAACCTTTCTGACTGTGATGGAGACGAGCCTGTGTGAGAGCATGGCCTCCATACCTTCAAGTCTTTGAACTGTCTGCTGATTTCAGAGACCCCTTTCATTGTGGGTTGACTTTATTGCTCCTCTTCTGTCTTGCAGCTGTTTAATCTTAAATATTTTATTATTTCTAGCTACTGTTTTAATTGGCAGAATTATAAAAAAAAACAAACCCCAAAACATCACAACATATAGCAATTTTTAAAATTGTGGCAATGTATTTACTTTATGATTCCTATAGATGCTCACTATCATTTATTATTATTTACCAGCCAATACTGTTTTAAATTTTTGTTACTTTACTCTGTGAAATGAAGATGTCTATTTCAGTCAGCTTACACAGAGAGCCTGGAGATGCATGAGAGAAGAAAGATGGCGGGGAGGTTTTGATGAATGCTTGCAGACCTCTTACATGGGTCTATTTGGTGAAGATTTCTGTGGCATTATGGCTGGCTAATCTTTTTCCAGGGGTTGGAGAACCTACAATATATTAAAGGGTGGGCTGTTTATTTTCCCTGTGTTGTTTTTATGTACTGAAATATTGTAGTGAAAATAGCTGGGTGGGGTGTAATGAATGTTTTCAAAGGCCTTCCTTTGAAAGAGGCTTTTTTCCAGCCTTTGGTGGTCACCACCCATTTTCCTGTGCTGTGCGCGCCTCTCTCATTGTTCCTACCCACAAAGGCCCCTTGTGTGAACCTGTCAGCAAATGTGCCAGTGCAGTGAGATAAAATGTCGTGGGATATTGGTCCCAACCTACTGAAGCAGAGTTTTCACCTGTGTTAGATCATAAAACTCAGGACTTGTCAACAATTTTCGGTGTGACTCTCTCAACTGTTTATGGTTGAGTGGGTTTGAGGCTGAACTGTAGGTATGCATACCATTGACAGTAAAGTCGTGCGATGGTAATGTTTGTCTGTTAGGCTTGAAGTAAAACTTAATTGAAAAATCATCCTCATTTACCTGCAGATGTGGCATCTTGATAAATAATGCTGGTTGTGGTTTGGTATGGGCTGGGATGTGGTCAGTGCCCCATCTGAAAAATAAGGCTGGTTGGAGTTTAACTTCTGCACCACCACCACCACCACCCTCCCCGCCTCCAGCCTGCAAATTGCACTTCGTTCACCTTTAGCTGTAACCCGCTGGTGAAGAGATAAAGCACCTCCTTTGGTATGTGTTTTTTAGAGTAGGTAAATAGTTGGGTTATCTGAAAACTGATCTTAGCAATACCTGCTGAGCTTCTGAGCAACAATATGTATGGACCTCTAGATTAGCTGTCAAAATTGACTGATTACTACAAGTAATGCCACAAGATAAGGATCTGTAATCTCTGAAACACAAATCATTGATAGAGATCTTGCGTTGTGCATTGTCATAACCTTATCCCCACTGCTGCGGTGCAATTCCAGCTCTAGCCATGCTGCAGGGCCTCTTGAATGTGTAAGTGGAAACTATGAAGAAAAGCAGAGTGGTACATTTATCACCCCCCCAAAAATTTGCTGATTGGGAAGCAAATTCAGTTTTGGCCAACATTGAAATAGTCCTTTCTGTTGTATTGTTTAATGGGTTTGGTGGGGTTTTTTTAATGGGTTGGTTTTTTTTTTTTAGCCTGCAGGTTATCTCTGAAGCTTGCTGTATCTTGGCTGGTATCAAAGAGTTGATTGCCACAGGGAAGGAATACATGATCCCATATCTTGATGGAGCAGAGCAGTGCAAAACCAGTCTTGGGAGGGAGGACTGAGTTTAGGTGTTTTCATGGTCTTCTGTTTGAGATTTGACCGTATGGTGGGCTGCTTGTCTCTCTCCAAATTTCCTTAGAAGAGAGAAGAGGTGTTTCACTGATCTGTTTTAAGTGTGGTCTGCAGGAGCTTTACAAGGGTGATCCAGAGCTGTCCTGACCCTTTCTGTGATGGGCACTGGACCTTGCTGAGCATGCAGTGACTTGGAGCAGGAAACTGCTCTGCCTGATAAGTAAGCCACGAGAAAAGTCTCTCTGCCATCTAGCCCTATTGCAGGGAATGGATTGAAAAGGCAAAAAGGCAATGCCTCTGTCTGCTTTAACTGCTGATCAAACAGCAGCCTGACATCTTCTCTGCACGCTGTGGACCTCACGTGGTTCCACGGGGCTGTGCCTTGCTCCAGGAGCAACGTGTTTGGCATGTCCTCCGAGGTACCAGGCTCATGCTGGCATGACGACTGCAGCACAGGCTGCACTCACGGCATTGTAAAATAATCCAAGACCAGATTAATGGCTGTTGAAATACTAATACTTATCTTTCTGGTTCAAGGTACTCATAAAACTAGAGAAAAAATGGTAGAACATAAATCCTGTAGACATTGTTTTGCTTACTGTGATTAAATTTACCAGACTGGTGACATACTGTGAAGCTAAATGCTTTAAAAAAATGTAAGTGCTCTTGTAGCCTCAGTAATGTTTTCAACACTGAACTCCAAAAGTACTATTTAGTTGCTGTGACAACTTCAGTATTCACAATGACACTTTAAATTGCAGGTGCAAAGTCTTTTTCTTTTAGTAGCAGCATTAAATGCAGATAGTGGTACAAAAAAATTGCTAGTGATATAAGCCTTTAAAAACTGTGTAAGTGTAATGCCTTTTTTCTCAACACCATCTTTTTTTCAGAAATAAATCCCAGGTATGTTCATGAAAAGAAATAAAATACAAATCCAGTACAGCTTAATTATTAAGACCAAAGGTACCATCAGAGCTTCAGACATTGAAGGGAAGTTAGTCTTACATGTGGTTTTAAAGTTCATATGGAATTTATCCTGTCTAAAGAGCTGATGTGTTCCCCGTTCAAGAAAACATACCCAGTTAACTGTGGTGATCCTAGGGTGGCATGGGCTTAGCAAATCGTAATATGCTCAAAGACACCAAAAGTTTGGTGTTCACTTAGGCCTCATCTCTCTCTTGATACTCTAATCATGCTAGCCAAGTCCCTTATCATTGTGCCAAGCATCCTTTGAAAAGGCATAGTGAAAATGGACATTAGTACCTCACCATTAACACGAACTCTTCCCTCCTCTGTCCCTGAGACACTTGTATTTCTCATTTTCCTGACTCTCATCTAGCCTTTGGTTTTAAACTTGCGAGGAAAGAATTACATCCCATTGCTATGGCAGTAGGTGCCAAGCTTTACTGAAGTGGCAGTGATTTGTTATTCAGTGGGTTTGTACAGAAGCACAAGAAATCCCCCAAGCAGACCAAGGAGTTGGTGGTGAGTTACTGTAAGTTAAGGCAGCTTTAAAGGAAGGGTGGAAGCTATTTCATTTCCTTATTTTTGTAATAGGCCTTTCTGTTAGTAGCTTTTCTTATTACCTTTGAACTCTCATTTCCTCTATTAATGAATTCCCCATTTTGGCATCGTTTGTATTTGTTTTGTCTGTGTACTGGGTACCATCTCCCAATGTGCAGCAGTCCTGCTTTAGCACATAATAGCCGTGAGCACTCCACGTATTTTCAACCTATTTTTTCCCTCTCAATACAAGAAAAACTCTCCGTCCTTCCCCTTCCTATCTTGCTGGTGTGCCAAACCTGGACATCTGGTGTCTTCTCAGCTTTAGAAATAGTTGTTTTCACTGGAAAGAGGTATAAGGAGAGATCTGTATGGCATTGTGTATGGGTTTCATTCACAGCTTTCATAGTTTGGCCTGAGTTCCTGGTGAGTGAGTAAATTGCTGTTTGTAGCACTTTTTATTGACTGATGGTCACTTTATTACTTTAACGGAGCGGACTTTCAAAAGCACAGCATGCCATCCAGAATAAAATGCTTGTCAGGTAGAATGGTTACAAATACTTTTTAAAGGAATTTTAAGGCTAAGTAAGCATGACCGCTGACTGCTTGGTGTCTGTGCAAGCACACCTCTGGGGCTATCAAGCAGTGTGGTTCTGAGATGGCTATGGAGTGCCTCACAGTCAGCAAAACTCCCTTTTAAAATATTATCCTTGTTCAAATCATCTACGGATTTGCCAAGCACAAGGTAAAGCAAAATATAAACACAGCAAAAAATGAATTTGCTAGATTGGGATAAATCTTTTTTGTTATCTGAGATAGTGCTGTCTGTTAAAATATCTGTATTTAGTTTTTACGAGTTTGAATTGGAAAATTTTTTCATGCTAAGCATCTGATCGCTTTTTTCATTTATTTGTACTGTAAAATATTTTCTTATCTTTACATCCCTAGAATATATTTTTCTTGTTCTGCAAGTTAGGATTTGAAGCTTTAACTCCAAATCGTTTGAAATGAAAATTTACTACAGAAATTTCATGTGACAGCTTAATTAACTGTGGATTCTTGACCTTTAAAGTGCTAGAGCTAGAAACATTTAATAACCGGCCATTGGATATAAAGTAATATGCTTACTGTTTTACCAGCTTGCATACATGGCAGTTTGAAGCAAAGTCCAAGGGTCACCAAAATCATGAAGTAAACTGAAGTGAGTCAATCTGAACTATGTATTTCAAAGCGTTGTACGAGTGTGTCACACAGCATGTATGTACGATACGAGTGAAGGCTACCAGCTTACATACAAGGTATTTTTATGCAAGGTGCGGATTACAGTTTCTCTAAAAGCTTCTGTGATCTGGAGCCTACAAGGTGGGAGTGTAGTTCAGTGCAATTATTGTGCTGCCTAGTCTTAAACAAGCGTGTGAGTACACAACCAAAGTATCGACCCACATGGACTTGTTGAGAGCAGCGAAACCCTGAGCAGAAGATTGCTATCTTGGCAAGTCCCCTCCAGCAGCTTAAAGGAGGCCACCAATGTCCTTGACAGAAGGGAGGACCGCTGACCACCTGGCACCATCCTTGGCTGAGTGGGTACCCAGGGCTTGAGGGGGTAACTGCGTGTGGGGAGGACCAGGGAGATGCGTGGGTGGAAGTGGTGGGCAGGGATTACTGGTGGAGATGAAGTACTAGTAGGTTTGAGACTGCAGAGAGCGAGTAAGGTCACAGCCGGTGGAAACTGTACCAAAATGTCAGGTCAGTTCCTCTCTGCAGAGCTGAGGAGGGTTGTGTGGGTATCTAACCCTACTTCAGACCAGTGAGTGACGCCGTACACCTGCGTGTAAACTCCCGTGTGGGGGGTGATCTGTTTGCCTCTGTGTTGTGGGGCTGATCCCTCTTGTGTCTGGGTCGCAGGTACCTCCTGCGTGTGCGCGGGCAGGGCAGTGGCAGCCCTGCAGCCCCCAGCCAGCGCTGGCTGCCCCAGCCTTTCTTCCGGCTGCCTGAGGCGGGAGCTGTCACAGCAGTGAGCGCTGGGAAGATAATCCCTAAACTGACATGGTAGTTTTGCAAGGTTATTTGAGCCAGATCGGTTATGTGGGGCTTCAGGTTTTGCCAATAAATTGCTGTGCCTGGAGTTTCTAGTCCTGCAGTAAGAGAGGCTTCAGAAAGCCAGATTGTGACCTTCACCCTGGCTGTGCAAGACCTTCATCTGCAGGCATTCCCACTGACTTCAGTGAAACTGTGTTGCAAGGGGCTGTTGGAGATGAGCAAAGGGATAAGAATCTGGCTCCTGGGATCCATGCAGGGCATTCCTACAGTCCTTTGGAGGCTTCTGGCGGGTGGGATCGTGTGCTCTGTTCCCGTGCGTGGGTGTGCGCTTGGGACCACTTTGTTGTTTGGGTTCTTGGGAGAAGCGTGGAGATTTTTTTGCTCCTGAAAATTTGAGAGCTTCACCTGAGAGGGCAGATATTTGCCAGTTGTTTGTCATTTTTGCTCACATGCATCGTCCCGTAAATTCTATTTTCAGAGCACAAACTAAACACGGCCAGGAGGGAGTGGGAAATCATGTAAACAGCGTCCTGGGGGTACAGTGCCATACTTGTGTTCTGTGGTGGGGAGCTGCCTGCGCTGCCTTAACTCTTCCGTTCCCTACGGCTTTGCCCCATTTGGGGGCTCCCGCCCCCGCGGGGGCG